CGAATACCACTAACGAGCAAACGGAGGTATAAAAAAGCACAGAAATGAGGTATAAAGGCGCACACAAAAGACTTTGGACGGGTACGGAACTTGAGATGCCAAGTGTTTTCTATTTGTGTCGTATGCCACGGATTATGACCCCATTGAAATTCAAATGATGCAAATTCAATATCAAAGTCATGATCAAACATCGTACACACACATATATATATAATTCAATAAAGTTAATACACGTGATTTTCCACGTCATCGACATCGACATCGTCTTGGTCGACCACGACATGCTTGTTATGAACAAAGTTTATTCGCAAAATTGTCGGCGGTAAAAATAACGAACGAAGAAAAAAAAACACAAACACACACACCAAAGGAATAAAAGAGCTCCGAATTTATTACAAAATGAAATTGGAGAACAAAAATATTGTTTTCACATTTGATATAAGCGTTTTTGATGGTCTGGCACATATCTTTGTGTCGGCGATTCTATCTTGCGCTCTCCCTCTCTTTTTTCTTCTCTTTTGAACGGTGAAACGGAATAATTTACCGTGATTCGACATGTACCGTCAAATAGATATATTGATTCAGACACACAACTGATAAGAACGAACAACGGATTTACCTGGAAATCACAAAAAATATAGCAGCTCAACAAAAAAAAAAACATCTTTCTTTATATATCTTGCTCATGTCTATTTCTTTATTTAATTTACTATTGCAATTTTTTTCGATTTTATTTCCATTTCTCAATATCAATGGCATTCGATTTTTGAATTTTTTGTCTGCCCATTGCCATTTTTGTTCATTCGAATCCAACGAAAAAATTGCGGTAAAATCAAACTTATTGATTGAAAGAAAGTGAGCGAGAGAGTACAACACACAAAATTATAAGTTGTGATGATGGCTAAAACGGGAATTTTGTAATATGCAAATCATTCGCAAACAAAAATGAGAACTAAATTAAGAAAATGGGCGAAACAAAAACGTGATCAAGTAAAACGCTTGGTCTGTTTGGTTGTTGTGTCGGTTTTTTTTTTCGATGGTCTATCGCTCTCGATGCGCTCTTCCTCTATTCTTCTCGCTCACTCTTTACCGTGTCCACTGATTGTGTGTGCCTTCATCTGAGTGGTTATTCTCTATTCATTGAGCATATTTCCTCGATACAACGCTATCAGTATGTGCACAAATCAGTACACACATGCTATGGCACAACGATTCTTGTTCCGTCGACAGCATTTCACTCGCATGAAAATTATTCGGCCCATTTCAACGTTCTAGTTGTCAATTGCTTGTGTTTTTTTCCATATCAACTACTGCAAACAGGAACTGGGCCAGTCAGCACAATTTCAAGAAATTGACGGCTTTATTTACAATTTTATGAAATTGACTGTACGAAAAAAGAGCCATGCCAATCGAAAGAAATGATAACAACCCCTTTGATAAAATTGATGACAACGGGAGATTTAACTTGGGACATTTTTGGTCCGAACGCTTTTTTCGGAGATGAACCAATAATAATATATTCAATTTAAATTAAAGCTTAACTAGAATAAAAAATATAGCTAAAAACAAACATCAGAACAAAATATACATCTATAGATATATTCTAGAGACCCAAATGATACGATTACATAACTATATGTCTCAATAGCAATGGAAGAATGGTAATGGTGATTTGTTTGAACAAAGCTTGCAATGAAATTAAGTGTCGTAAATGTGTTTTCTCCGTAAGATGAATTTCGGTTGTTTTCTGAAATTCCGAGAAAATGAAACTAGGAAAATACCTCCACAAAAATAGTTTTCTCGGAAATCGTTTCTTTTTTCATGCAGTAAATATATTCTATATTGCAGATATAGGTAGAGAGCACAAACTTCATCATCATGATAATAAATGTGTAGTTCGTCCGAATGTTATTTGACTTCGGTTGAATGCATAAATGACCATTGGTCAAATGATTTGACTGGAAATCGGTGTGGCTTTATTCTGCTTTGTTCGTTCAATAATTAAAATAATCGGACTTAATGCTATTTTCTTTGCATGTGCATTGCATCTAAAGCAATGACATCGTTTGTAATGGTTACTCCGGTGGTTCATTTCATGCTTGACTTAAGTTTATTTTATATTCTCATCTCAATGTGATGCAGACCTTGTACCGGTCCATAATGTTGGATTCTTGTTTTTCGTTCGTTCAACAAATTAGAGATGGCTTCAATTTCTTTTGTGCTGAAGAGTTCTCTCTTCGCGCAAATGCACAACGAGTGCACAATGTTTAACGATCGAACAACGTATTCGATTACGTGTGGGCTTGTATACAAAAAAAATAATACATACACTCATACAAACATTTAAACACAAGTGCAATTAGTTGGAAGCGCACTTCATATGGTTCCATTCTTTTCATATTTAAATCCGAATGAGATCAAATAAATCATAGAAAATTCAGATTATATAGTTTGTTCGAGATTCGATCGCAGTAAAAAAACATATGAGTGCAAATTTGCGCTTATTTCAATGCCAAATGAAAGAAAACCCATTCGATATAGTTACAAAGAAGTTCATCCTCCTGTCAAACCAAAACTATGCAAATTCTCTTGTTCTTTTCTTCTTCTTCTTCTTCTTGCTTTATCCAACGAAAAATGAAACAGAAAACGATGAGATATAACGTGGTACTACTTAAAGTTGTACTGATGCACGTTCTAAATTGCTCACACCACGATGCTCGTATAAAATGAACGACACACAGAAAATTGCAACGACTCAACCAAATACACACCTAAATCAAAATTATGATACAAAATGGTTTATTTTTATTTTCTGCACTCTTTACCATTTATTGCAAACTCAATGCAATTGGCGTTCGGCATGTTTGTCGATGCACAAATTCAGCACAATTGAACGAAAGAAAGATATATTGAAGATGGAGAAAAAGTACTTTTAATGCTTCGCTCATAATCTCTCGTGTGTACATGTGGAGCCGAAACGTGCAAACAAAACAGCATTACACCCAAAACAGACACAGTCTCAATTCAAATCACTTGAATCATGTGCATACAAGTTGAAACATTCACGGCCGCCACTAACGCCGTTGCTGTGGTATTCGTTCTTCCATGATGGAGTGAACACTAAAAACATCGCATCATTGTGTCGTTATCTCGCATTTCAATATTGTGAAAATCAAAACCAAAAATTACCCATAAAATAATATTTGTTTGTACACAACATCCCAACTAGACTATCCCAAAAAAATTACAAGTTGAAAATGTTGAGGTGCTCAAGCGGTTTTCATCGTGGGAACCCAAAACAAAAAGGTTTGTTGACGAAAATTGCTTCTATGGTGGCATATGTACAGTATGACCAACTTTGGTGATTGGTCTCCTTAGAATTTTCATTCAAAAACAATTTCCAAATGAAAAACCGCCTGAGCCCCGCAAAAAGTTTCAACTTGTATTTTGTTGGGACAGTCTAGCCCTCACCGCCGGTGCCGCCACCAATAAAAAAAACAAAAGAGCGATCAGTGCGCACTACAAAATTATAGATACACACGCAAATTATATCAAAACAGCTGCTGTGGCTGCCGATAATGCTAGTGCAATCTCGTGCGCACATCACAAAACACTGCTAACGAACCAACCGATGAAGAAAAATTACACACAAACAAACAACAAGCGACACGGTTAACACGAACAAATCAAAATAAAACCATCTCTTTTACTAGTCGCAAATAGTGCGAGAGGCCTGACGAAATAGAAATCTCTTTTTATTACATCGGATCAGTTGTTTTAATTAGATTTTTACACAAAATTACCATCGATGCAGCTACAATAATAAAATAAAAATCATATGAAAGAAAAAAAATATCAAATACGTTCAGTCAATAAAATCGAATGAAAATATACAAAATATGGACCGACGAGAGTGCAGAGCAGAAAAATATCGAAGATTTCTAATGAGAGACTATGTGGCGGTGCACGATTCAAATATTCAATAACATTGAGCTTCACGTGAATTCGATGTACATGTTTATTGATCATTGCTTTGAATTTCTTTGACTGCGCAGTGCGCACTATATGTAATGAATAAAACAAAAAAATTCTTCATTTATTTTTGAAAAGAGTTTCGAATCATTTTCTCAGCTTAATATGCTAAGTAAGCACACATTTTAGAGAGAGGCGAGAAAGAGAGAGAGAGAGAGAGAGAGAGAGAGGTAGCAGAAACGAGAAGAATCGAAAACGGCGATATACGTTTAATCGAAAAGAAAACAGCAATGCACAAATAACCGAATGGTATTCACTCCATTTTTGGGTGGTCATCGTCAAAACACCATACTTGTGATTTGATGATGATCGAATACCCAAATCAATAAGCATGCTGCGACTATTATCAATCTAATTTTCGAATTTACTTATCTTTCTCTTCCTTTCTCTCTCTTTTATTATCTACCTTAATAAAATTACATAGCGCTTTCGTTTCTAAGAAAGATGAGCACAAGAAAAAACGTCGATTTCATCATCGAACATCAATTTGTATTTTGTCGACCAAATCAGCGCTCTGTTACACGATTTAGCTATAGTGATTCTCTTCGATCAAATAAATAAATACAAAAAAAAGATTCTTCTAATTAAATTGAAATTTGATTGAAAATGGGTCGGACATTGGTAATCTCATCGAAAAAAACAAAATCGTTGATTTTTTTATACACTTCACTGATTCCAAGTCGTTTGACGGTAGTTCGTATTTGACAAATCGAAAATTTGATTTTCTTACGATTACTCAAAACTCTGGCAAAACAACCAAATAATGAAGAAAAAAACCAATAACCAAACCCGATAATTATAGGCACGATGATGAATTTTGTTGGCTTATTTCTTTTCTTCAAACACATAATTCTGCAACGTTTGAAGCCTGGGTTTAGAAATAATTGGTTAATGCACATTTAAGAATGTACACACACACACAAAAAAAACCATTGATTGACTAACTGATTTCACTTCCGATATTACAGGCGCATCCAAAGAAATTGGTACAGCATTGACCCGAGTCTGTTTACGGCATAAAGCGGTAGAAACGCGCATGAAAAGCTTCACAACCGCCATTATGGACTGTCTAATATTGCCATTGCAGGTAAATTATCATTCATAATGAATTGCATTCACGGAAGGAATTCTCTCTCTCATATTGCATGCATTTGGAGAATGAATTTCGAAAGCAATTCAAAATCCAATATCAAATAAAAAAAAAAAAAAGAATATCACCGAATGTATTTGCTAAATTTCATAGGATAAAGTTGAAGATTGGAAACGTCAAGTAGCTGTTATTGATAAGGAACACGCAAAGGAGTATAAACGTTGTCGTGCTGAATTAAAGAAACGGTCAACCGATACGCTTCGTTTGCAGAAAAAGGCCAAAAAAGGTCAATCGGATTCGATACAGAGTTTGGTCGAATCATCAATGCACGATATCACCCAACGTAAAGCCGATTTGGAAGAGGTTGAACGTCGTTCATTACGTGCGGCCATGATCGAAGAACGAACACGGTTTTGTACGTTCGTCAATTTATTGCAGCCGGTGGTGAAAGAGGAATTCGAAGTTATGTATGAATTAGGTCATTTACAAGAGGCTATGGAAACAATAACAAATGTCACAAAAAATCCAAACATTCTACCACAAGCGTCCGAAGAATTAATTCTTGAAACAAAAACATCGGCATCATTTCTCTATCCCGAATCGCCTGGATCGCATGGCTATTCAAATTCGTTGGGCTCACGTAAGAGTTCCGTGTGCTCAATCAGTTCGATAAACAGTAGCGGTTCGAGCAACTCACCAGGAATGCCGTACCAAAGATCTCTTTCGCAGGTCAGACATCTTAAATGTCTTTTTACTTACTGTTTTATGTTATTATTATTATTATTTAACTTTTGTTGTATTTTTTTCTGTTGTGCTTTTTTCCGTTTTGGACTTCTTTCGTTGTATAATGCTTTTGTTCCGTGTTATAAATATATATATATATCCCCAAACACTTGTGCGATGTATATAGTTAATGACACCTGCAATACGTTTAAAACCGGGCGAATCTAGTGATAGTGGCTTTTGCTCATCGCCGGCGCTTACAACACAGGTTTTAGTTTGTTTTGACTTTTTTTAAATTAATTTTTGCGTTCTTTTTTTTTTTTTTTCTACCATTGATGTGTTTAATGTGTGAAGAAAGAGGGTTTCCTATTTTATAGTCAGAGCTTTTGTAAATAAAATCATCAATTTTGCAGGCATCAACAACAACCAATCAAACACATGCTGTGTCTACATGGCCACCACATTCACAGGATCCAGTTACATCGCTCGATAGACCGCATACAATTTCAACAGCATATGAAAAAGGTCATCAACGTCCACCGTTGACCGTGTACACTTTCCAAAATCCAGATGGATCGACCACAACCACCGAACAACAGCATCCAGTTCAAAAATCACCTGCAAACGTTGCATGCCGGCCACCATTACCAGTGGTATGTATTCAATTGAACAATTTCCAGTGCAAATATGAAATAATTGTTAAAAATGCGAGTATAATTAATATTGAAGTAAAAGAGATATTATCGAGTAAAAACTTGAAATATTCGGTTTCCAATTCATCTCGGATCAAAAAAGATTACGGGGCGCGTGATTACGGGGAAATTTATTTAAGAGACCCCAGGAAATTGAAAGAATTCCCCCCTCAAAATCCTAGTAAATCGAAAAAACCCCATCAAAATTGCTTAGGAGTCTCTCTCTCAGATGTTTTTACAGGAAGAGGAGAGGGGTTAGTCGGGACCCTCAGAAGCAAAATCTGGGCGTAAAATAGTCTAGTATTAATATAGAAGCTAATAGTCTTCAAAAAAAATGTCAACATCATTAAAATTGCATTTGATATTTTACAGCGTTGTTCGTCATTGGAACGTCCATTATCGTCAACAGCCGGAGCTCGAAATCAAACAATGCATAACATGAGACAGTCACCATCACCATTGCCAGCGCACATCACAAAAGGTACCACTAAACAATTTGCTACTACAATGAAGCAAAACCAAACAAAAAAACACTTGTCGGTCATTGTCAAGTGCTCATCGGATAAGAAAAAAACGCACACATTGTGCAATGTAGTAACCGTAGTCGATGTGTTTCCCGTTCAATGACATGACTGATTATAAATTTTCTACAAGTAAAATTGAAAGCATTGTCTAATCAAACTCACAAGCATTTTGGCATGAATTAAAAATTTGAATTGCTAACTCTAATCTAAAATAATTACTAAGCACCGCTCTTTTTTTTCTTTTTCTTTCTGTTTTTCTCCGTTTATTTTTATCTCGTTCACATGCTATTTTCTACTGATTAAATATGCTGTTTGATGTTTACTACCACTATTACTGCTACTACTGCTAAAACTTTATTACTCCGTGAACTTACCTACTGTTGTGACCTGTGCTGTGTGTCTGTGTGCGCGTGTGTTCTTAACACCATTTTCTACATTAAAACATGTGTAAATATTGATTGAAAACGTACTATGCACACACGTTTCTAATGCCTGTCATTATTATGACGTATTCGAATGGGAAAATTCGCAAATAAAAAAAAATGCAAAACGCCAACATCGATTGCATCAACAGAATATCCAATAATCCAACCGACTTATGTAAATATGTCGGAATTGGCAACGATGGCCGCACTTAAAATCACTAATTCAATCAATCAACATTATCAACAACAAAATCAAGAACCATTAACACCGATCCAATCACATACACCAAATATGCCATTTTCAGCGCAATCACCACAATCGGATTCCTCTTCTGTAACAACGACATATAACAATCTGACCACCACCACAAATACCAACACCAATAATACCAATACCACAAATTCCATGACCACGAATCCAGAATCACCACTGTCAACCGCCACCGATGACACATTATCCCGTCAAGCATCGGTCGATGCGGCGCCCTCATCACTAAATGACTACGATGATTATGTTGTACATGACAATCAAACATTGTCATCGTCCACATCAGGTATTTAATTCAACTTCTTTTTCTTATTCTTTGTTTGCCGTCTTATCTGCGCTTTGGTATTATTCTTTTGTTCTCTTGTGAACGTATCGCTAATCCGACGCAAATTACATCAAAATACACTTTCGAACAGGCATTGATGCAAACCGATCGGATCAAGAGTTTCTTCAATTTTTTTGCTGGTTTTTTTTTTGCCAATTAACTAGTAGTCATTGAAAATTAACACATTGAATATTAAAGAGTAATGTAGAAGAGAGAACGCAGATCTTACTAACACACACAATGTAATTTGTTTTTTATGATTGAACCGCGTGCACTCACTAATATAGCTAACAATTCAATAGGAGTGACTTATAATGACGATGTAGACGATTACAAAAGTACTGGTTCTGTTTTAGAAAAATTATCATTGTTCGAGAAATTGGAGCAGCGTCAAGCTAGTACAGCAGCAGCTGCTGCCGCTGCCGCTGCCGCCGTCGCACTAGCCAAAACGAATTCGATCACATCGAATGCCGGGAACAACGAAACACAGTCGATTATGAGGCGCAATGACGATCTTAACAAATCGATTCGGTCAATCGACAAGGATCCAGGTACGCAATTCCATTCCTCTCTCTATCTCACACAAACTCTACCACCATCTCATCATTCCTTTCAATCCTTCAATGCACTTTTGCCGTTTAAAAATAAAAGTTCATACCATTTTTTTTTGAAAATTAGCAAGAAAGTAAATTAGAGCGCATGAGATGGTTCACATCTAACGTGATTTTAGCCAATATGTTTTGCGTTGTTTTTGATTTTTTGGCAGTAACATAACTAGTTGTAGATGTATACACCTTTGATGTTGTTTTCGCATAAATTTCCACACATCTCTTTATCGGCCGGTGGATAAATCGACGGAGAAAATGTTGCGCTTGTAATTTGGTGCATTTTATCTCACCGCTGCTGCATTACATTTATCGGAATGTTTAAAGTTATTTTTTTATGTAAATAGTTTAGCGTTTTATTTTTGAGATTGAAGTGGTCTTTCGTGAATTATTTTCGAATTGTGTGTTTATGCTGTTTTTTTTTTTGTTTAAATTCTCACTTCATCTTTGTTTGCGTGCCATTTTATTTTAACTGCATGCAATTCGGCACAATCTCACTGTTTAACTGTAATTTTTTGATTCATTTTTATTCTCTGATTTTTAATCGCTTAGTTTTTATTTTGCGACTCAAAAACCGTACAATGCAATGTTTAAGCATCACACTAATATCTCATTAAGACCATTTAGCAATGAATGACCATCGCGTTTATTCTTGGCATGTTGCTGGATTTTTTTTCTTTCGTTGCTGTTTCTCTTTCTTTTGATAATGAGCATATATATCTATCTTATCCAATTGTTTGAACGAAATGAAGAAAAAAGAACGTGTGCGTCAATATGAGAAAAGAAACCGAACTCGGTCGAAATGAATTCCATAAAAATGAGCTACTTATTTTCTTTTTTGTTTGGTCGATTTTTTCTTTAAAGAATGAAACGAACCAAAATATACGGCAATTAAATCGTTTTTTTCTTCTTTATTTATTTATTTTTTTGTTTCTGTTTTTGATCAACTTGTTTCTTTTTTTTGGCGTTTGTTCGCTTTGTTTATCTTTTCATTTTATTTTTTCTTTGTTTTGTTCTTTTTTTTTTCTTTCATTTTCATTCGAAAACAAAAATAAATCATATACATGAACATAATAAAATTAAAAATAAAATCCATAATCATCGGATCGAAACATTTGTGTGCGCTCAAACTTCGTCATCGTTGCGTCGAAAATGTGAAAAATGCATATGGAATACACTGGCTCACTCACTCACTCACTCTCTCTCTCTACCTCTTTCTATCTCCGGCATCATCGCAGGCCAAATGTATGAAGACTCAATTCAGGAGCTAAACAATTTAATTGGCGAATTGGATTCGTTTCAACGCGAACACGAGCAGAAAATGAAGCAAAAACAGCGTGAGAAACAGCAGCAGCAGCAGCAACATCAGAAGCAATCAAAATCGTTGGCCAATGTTCATGACGTGCACAATACAACGGCCGATACAACATTGACGGCATCATCAATAGGCGATGCGAGTGATATTTATAATAATTTTGATAAATTATCGATTGGCAGCAGTGATCCAAATCCATTGATGTGTTCAACGACCACGCATTCGAGTGACATGACATTTGGCAGTGATACAGGCGATTTAACCGATTGTCAAGCAACGACCATGTCGCTAAAATTAAATCTATCAACGACAGAGCATCCACTTATCATGCACAGCAGTACGAATAGCATAAACGGTGGCATGAATGGTACGTCGATGACAAGTACCACATCTAGTTCGAATGGTTCCACAGTCGCTCGACACATCGAACTCATTCCGGACGGTTACAATGTTAGCGACGATTATGTCAAAGAAAATACCGAAATTGTTGTCTTACGGCGCAAAGATAGCCAAACCGATTTGAATAACTGTGGACAAGAACAAATGAGCCCGGTGGTTAGCGGGAATGGAAAAGATGTAGAACGTATTAGTTCGTTTCGGTGTTCAAGCTTTGGTAAAACTGAATCGGCCAGTCCAAATGATGGTAAATCTACATTAAAACGTGGCCTATCGATCACATCAGCCGATTCAATTGCAATGAACAATCGCAACAGAAACGAGTATAATTCAAATGGCATGGCTGTGATGATACACGATCAAGACGTTGTCGATCATGCGGATATTGACAATAATGATAGCGCAACAATAACACAGATGATTCGGCAAAAACCGATCATTGCATCACGACCCGCTTCTTTGTCTGGTTTGTTTTTGAACACATTTTTTATTTTTTTTATTTTCTTCATTTCATTACTTTTCTCTTCTCTTTTCAAATTCATTGGGCTTTTTTCCACCACGTCATTTTCATCAATTGACATTTGTTTTTTTTTCAGTTTTTATTTTTCAATTCATTTTTTTTTTATTATTTCATCGACGAACATTTTCATCAATCCGAAAGAACGACATACACGTTCCTTACATTTTACATTAAAAAAAAAAAAAAACAAATAATTTAAATTAGTCCAATGGTTTGAGAGTTCATTTCACACATTTTGAATATTTTCATTTAAATATATTGATATTGTTTCTTGTAATGTTGCATCCAAAATCAAGTTACACATTTTCCGTAGACACATTGTGTTCTCTGTTTAATTTTGTATATGAATTTCAATTTGAATGAATATTAGTTTATCGTTAGTTGGCTTTTTTTGTTCTATCAAGAAGCTGAATTAATTTTATTCAATTTTATTTAGATGTGCGACTTGTTTAGCTTATTTTATCGTTGCTTCTGAATTTAAAAAATTAAAAATCTCAACAAAAAAATTTTGAAAAATGTTTGGAGAAAGTAATATTGATTGAAATTTTCTTTTCATTCGGAGCAGGTTGCGTGAATCGAAACACAACGAGACGAACAGCAAACAGCGTAAAGCCACCACCGCCAGTTAGACGAAGTTCAAGTGTGACACCAAGTCATCAGCTAGATGTATCACATTCGGTAAATCTAGTTTTTTTCAGTCTTAGCACTAAACTTTATGATACAATACTCTTTCAAAATTCTCGCTGGATTCAAAGGAATAAATGGCTTCTGAGTTCTGACTAAGTGTCCAAAAATCACATCGACAATATCACCTAACAGCAGGAATTTTGAAAAAAAAAGAAGATTGTGTCATATTGTGGATCTTTGGGGTTAGAAATTTCTTAAAATATCTATCGATGATTTGAATGTTAATGTTTTTTCGAACAGTCGTTGCAACCGAACGTCATGAACGCATCGTCCGAAAGTTTACCACCGCCACCCGCATATTTGCTCGATTCAACTGGTCGCACATCACCTGGCAAAGTTGGAGAAACTGTGAAAGCGTTGACCGAATTGAATCACATGCCGGCTAGTCCGAGCGTTTTAAGAAGGAACATAAGTCAAATAAGCCCGGCTGCACCACAGGTACACATTTTAACCACTACTACCACTACCACCTATGTCTGATTCACCTACTGAGACACAATGACAAAAATTGTCAAAATTCTAAATTAATTGAGCACATTGTTTTTTTTTTTCGTTCTGTTTCGTTTTACGCATTTTCGGCCATTATTCGATCGCATATTTTTTTAGACAATATATTCGACCTCAAACCAACAACAATCACCAACACCATCACAACAACAACACAATCCATTTTACGGTAGTAGCCCACAAAGTGACTACTATTCGACCACCAATCAAACCAAACAGTCCCAATCCATTTATAGTACATTACAACCATCACATTCTTCACACAATTCTTCTTCTGAACAATCACCGTCATCACTTCCAATCTATTTAGTGAGTATCGATTTTGATTGGCGCTGTTAAATCACAAGATATCGATGCTTTTAAATACACACCAACATACATGCATTTCACACATTTTATTCACTTGATTTGCTAGATTTCAACATTTTCGATTAATTTACACCATTTTACGCTATTTATTTTCAGTCAACTCGTCAAATTCAAAGTGGCATTTATGCACAACCAAAACATTTAACAAAAGTATCGAGTTTCCGAAATGCTAGTCCAAGTAAGTATACGTAATCGCATCAATTTTTGTGATCGATCTGTTATTTATTCAGCAAACAAACCAAAAAAAAAAACATAAGCAATCACCACTTGTCGTGAAGGCCAGCGTAGGGTTTTGATTTTATTCATGTGTGTGTATGTTTGACAAAAACAAATTATTTTTTGGAATATAAAAAGTTCGAAATTTACTAATTCCCCCCTCGAAATAAGAAAACAATGGTGATCATTTGGAAATCTCATTCGGTTAGTTGAAGTTGCAAATTCACATGTATCTCTTATAAATTCAATTAGATTCTGCTCGAAATCAGCCCGGTACTCGAGTTATTACGCAGTTAAATACAAGTCGAACAAATGATTTGCATCAACAAATTGCACCGCCGACCGCACAAGGTTGTTACACAATTTTCATCTTTTATGCATTTTTCTGAGTTAAAAGCAACCAGCCATCGAATACTATTGCACCATCTGAAAATGTGTCAAGTGCACCAAGCCGATTCGCATAAACGAACGAATGGCGTGTGTGAACTGGATATTTTGAGATGGTTGTTTTAAAAGACGATTTCACTAAATTTCTTTCGAATTTTCTATTCCCCAATTGAAAACGACAAAAAAAAACCGCCCACATTTAAAATTGTAGCAAAGACTACGCCATCATCGCATCCACATTCAAATCAAAAGATTTATGCACAAAGTTCATACCATCATACAATGCAATCACCCTCACCACATAATTCCGATCATACATACCAACAAAATCATGAAGCAAAAGCGCCCAAAACGAAACCCGAACGAATCTATACGAGCGCCAGTGATAGAAATTATCACTATCATTATCAACAACAACAGCAGCAACACCATCACCACCACCAACCACAACAGCAACAGCAGCAACATCATCAGCAACAGCAACAAAACAACCAACATTCAGTACACGGAATGGCTATGTCAAACGATGGTAATACCCTCGATTGCACTTATCCACCAATACACACACGAAGTCACTACCGTGGCACGTTTGAATCGATTGCACAAAGCACTGTGCCGCTTTTTGGTCAAGCGCTTCAATCATGCCATCGGTGATGACCGATTCATTCATTCATACATGCACAAAACCAACCAAAAAAAAAAAAATTTGTTGCGGTTTTTTTAGGGCCATATTCAAATCATCATCATCAACAGCAACAGCAATCACCCTATCATCGTCATTACAATGTACAACAAAAAATTTACGTATCCACGAATCCATTCATTCACACAACGACATCACACTATTCGCCTAGCTATTCGCCGACCAGTTTCGGCAAAGAATCCGGTCCAGTCTATGCAACTTCGCCACCCACATCGACCACAAGTAAAGTGTTGGCCAACAAAACCACTTTTGTTGCAATCGCTCCCTTTTTTTAAACATGTGTGCGTGTGTTGTTTTTTTTTTTTTGGCTTGCAACACTGTCATGGTCAATTTTGATTGAACAAACATTGAAAATGGTCAATTGAAATTTGTTCGACGATCATTTCCTAATATGAGGCTTTTGTGCTTGTGTTTTTTGCTAGATTTGTTCCTCTTTGATTTGACGTCAATTGTTTTACTAAACTTCGCTTTTCAATAAATTTATATGAGGCAATTTTTAAAAGCTTGCATCTTTGCGTCGTTTATTATTCTTTTTATTTCCATTGAGAATTATTTTTTGTGTGATTTCTTCAGTTTCGTGCATTACAAAGATATATATTTTTTATTCCTTTTTCATTTTGTAAATGATTATCTTTTTAACTAAAAACTATTTATTATTTCCCTCGATTTCGCTTTCAAGGCGCCACATTTTGATTTTGTGTGTGATTTTTTTTTTTTTTTTCGATTAATTTGTTTTCGATTGTTTTCGCCCCTTTTTAATTTGCAATTTTCAGTCGCTTTTGATAATTTTGTTGTTGTGCTGTGCTGTTGAACTTATCTAATCAATCGTCTTCGAATTTTCAAACTTAAAAAATACACATATTTTATTAGAATATTTGTTTTGTGTCTCTTTTTCTCTTTGAATTTTGATATATTTTTCGTCTCGTGTCTGCGCTGTGTCCATTTTCCATTTGTTGTTTGTATCACCACAATCACCACCACTACCCGTGTATATATTTCGCTTATGGCCGCGGCTGAAACTCGTACAGACTATTCGTCACCGAATTATGAAACAACCAACAATTCGATTCGAGCCAAATCAAAACTAGGATTTTTAGAAAATTTAAATGCTAAATTAGCGGAACAAAGACTGTCTGGAAAGGCATTTGCTGTGAGGAATATTATCAACAGCAAAGCATTGGTAAGACATGCAAGGCATTTTGCATTTTATAATTTCTTTATTCTCAGAATGATGCTCACAAATCATTCTGACGCAATTATTCTTTTTTCAGTATTTCACTGAACACAAATAAATTGATATCATTTCTCTCTGCACTTGTCAAAATTTTGATTGATTTTTGTTTTATCTTTTGTTCGAAATTCACATTTGTTTGGCTTGCAACGACGATACAATTTCGAAACGAAAATATATATATATATATATATATATATCATTGTCTTGAAAAATGAAAACGATCAAAAAAATCTATGCTGTTTTTGGCGAACGAATTCAGAAAAGAGTTGAAGGTGGCAGAAGTCAAATACCAGTGGCTAATTCAAATAATTATGCAAATTGCGATGAGGTGAGAGAATTTTCAAACACGATCAAAAAAAAAAAACATACAAGAAACATGAAACACTTTGAATTTAACCATTGGTTGTGCTTTTGCGGTAACTGCTCTAAAAAACAATACTTTGGTCTCGGTTGTTTATTTTATCATTTTTCATACATTATAATCACATACCATAATTAACCAGACTAGTACATTGGCTTCGCCGTATACTCAAACATCAACAAATCCATCGCCAATTGCGTGGAATTCATTATCATAAGGGTGGTGTCGTTTATTTTTAAAATTAAATTCTTGAAATTACACACATACTCTGAATATTGGCATTCGAAGTTTCTAAAATCTAAATTGTAAAATTTAAAATTTTAATCCCCAAATAATCTCTTTTAAATAACCAAAATCGTAGAAAAAACAATTAAATGAAAAAAAAAATTGTTTTTTTTATTTAACCACATTTTTTTACACACACTTTCTGTTTTTAATCTTTTTTAACATGTTCCTAACTTTTGATTTCATCAACTTTAAATAAAAATACCAATTAAATATTGATTGTGTTCTAAATTTCCAGCCGGACCCAAGAGTTTGTCATGAATCTCTGATGGATCAAATAAAACGCGGAGCAACACTCAAACGAAATAAGTCCATCAACGATCGCAGCGCTCCGAAAATTTACTAAAAATATATACACATATATAAAAAATCATACGCATAGAAGCTGCGAATATCGTCGCATCAGGAAATAAGAGAAGAGTCCATTGACACTGAAAACCGATCAACACAGAAGATCACCGAAGAAGCAGCACATCATCACCATCGAGTAATCAATACACGGGAAAAGATGGCCAGCGCTAAATTTATATGGTTCTGAAGTGACGCACACAATAATTTCCAAACATTAAGTGGGTTTATATTTTGAAGAAAAACGAAAAGAAATCGTCATTAGCATATAAAACAAAAAAAAAACTTATATAATATTTAAACATCATAAAAATAGACTCATAACATTTCGTATATAAAATTGTAAAAGAAAACCTCACAGCAAGAGTTGCGCTTATTTTGATGTGCGTTTTTATTACACATTTGGCGATGATTTTAATTAAGAAAAACATCCACATGAGCTCATTTGTATCCATATTCTGTGTATAAAATGCTTAGGTTTTTTCACATCTAAAATTATTTGCTTTAATTTGCAGGTCATTTATTCTATTAAGTCTATAATTTTTTTCTTTCATCTTAATTGCTAATAATACATAACGACAAAATCACCATCTAATAATTGTTCAATGAAAGCAAAAAAATCATGCAATTTCTATACTTGAATTGTAATATCGATTAAATTATGACAACAACAACAACAAAATGGGGAAGAAAATAAAGGAAAAGTCAAACATTCTAAAAAAAAACAAGATGTTCTCGCTTCACTCGTAGACATCGATAGGAATGGAGCCGCAAGAATATTTTTTTAAAATACCAAACACAATCGAACTGATCGTTATGAGATTAACAACACGGGAACTGAAACTGTCCACATTTATACAAAAGTCAAAAGAAAATTTGTCCACAAATTATTTTCGAATGCGCTTTGTGTAGGCTTTTTTCATACGAATAGAGAAAACGCGTAGCATTTTATAAATAAAAGCTATTGTCGCAAAACGATTTGGATTCTTTTTTCTCATTTTCCGCATAAAACAATTCAATAAACGAACAATTTGTGTCGAATCAAATAGAGGGGAGAAAACAACGTATTCTTCGTGTTGTTTAATCGTTTATTTCACAAAACCAAGCTCAACAGAAAAAAAACATCGATCATATTGAGTTCATTTAAAGCGTATATTTTATTGACAAAAATAGAAATCTTGACAAAGATCATGATGTAAGTTTACTACAATGAAACGGTTTTTTTTGGAGCGACATCGAACCGAAATAGACTTTAATAAAAAAATAGAATACCGCTAACATTTGAGTTCTATCCCATACAAGGGGCATTTTACTATATGCGAATGCCATTTTATACGGAATATATGAAAATTTTCCTATTCATACATGAAATATACGAAGCAAAGTATATTCATCCGCATCAACATCTATGAAAATTCGTACATTTCATTCGCAACCATTCGCGAATGCCGCATACGTCTTGCTAGATGCGACAAACTGTCGTGTGACATTTGTACATACACATTGCTGTGTTCAGTTTGTCGTGGAAGTTTCAAACACAATGTCATTGTTCTCAACTAAATTTGAAAAACAGTTGAAGAAAAAATACAAGATTATTTGTTGAATATTATTTTAGAAGCCGTATTCGATTCGAAAAGTGAGATTTTAGAAATAAATTCAGATAATATAAAAGAAACTGAAAGTTACGTCAATGAAAATAAAAACCTTTCACAAGGCACCGTTTACAGTGATAATATTACGAGTGGCAAAGATTTATTTACCATTTTAGAAAAATTTCACTCAATATTACCAAAAAAAATATCAATTCGGCTTGATGCTTGAATCTCTGTCACCTAATCTGTCACTTTGACTTTTTGAATGTAAAAATATGACTTTTTATATGCGCCATCCGCAAAATGTGTATGAAACATTCGACACCGTCCGCAAATTTGTATGAAACATCCGCCACCATTCGCAAAATTTGTAAGAAACATTTGCGACCATTCGTTTACATTTGCAAAATATATAGGAAAAATTCGCTCGCATATGGATCATTCGTTTAAGTCGGAACCCCCTAGATCCCATAGCTCCTGTAGTCCCATGCAACATGACACCGATCGTCCGGCGCTCAATTTATTTATGTGAATGCTTCTTAATTTGTGGATATCGAATTAAAAAAAAGTTGGAAAAAAAAATACCAAGAGACTTTATTAGAAACTAAAATCTTAAATTGTGTATTGGATCTGTCAATGTAATTTTGAAAAACGCAAAAATTTAAATTGCTAGTTTCTCTTATATCTCATCAGGTGTGTTGAAATGCAGTAAAAAAGATGCGACCAAATCTATTCAAGTTAAGTTTTCAAACAAATATTTCAAAAGGTAATTGGTTGGTTGGTTGGTTATAATACGTCTTTTTCAACAACTTCATCGATTATTATTTAGCTAAAAATGTTGTGAATAAATTGAAGGGAAAAAAATCCATCGACGATTGAGTGTTGGACAGTTTTCGCTTGTAATTTAATTGAAACAAAACAGTGACTTTATTTCTGCTGCACTCATTTGGTATCAGTCAGTTTTCATGTTCAATGGTTCAATAAGGCTAGATATTCTTAGTTCATCCATATCAATTTAAAATAATAATAATGTGTATCAATACTAAAAATTCAAACGATACAATTGTAATTAAAATTATTTATTTCTAATACTGTATAATGTAGATTCCATTTATTTTTTGTTTGGTTCATTTATCTCATTTAATACAATCTATTAATTTTTGTTAATTTAATAACGACTTTTTTCCCAAACGTTGTACTTCAAATAAGAATATTTTAACAATTTATATCGATTAAACTCGATTAAAACTCGAACGAGTATTTATATATGAAATTAATTACTTTTATTGCGTTTGTTCTGAAAAATGAAGACCAAATTAGATAGATGATTATCTGATTTTTTTTTAAATGTGGTATGCTTCTGACATCGAATCACAATTGAGGATGTGAGGTTTGGAAATAATTCAACGGCGAATTATTCACTGGCTTTTTTTAAAGTAAATTGTAAATTCAGATCTTAATTACATCAAAAAATCCATACAAAAAACATTTATTTTGCACTACTATCTTTTTGTTTAAAATCATCATGAAAAAGAAAAGAAATAAACATATACCGAAATTTAAAATCCATTCTACATTCAGATTTTTTTGTTAATTACGAATATAAATGGCAAAGAAACGCCACTTGATTACGCTGTTTTGTAGAATCGATCAAATCGTTTAAAAAAAATCAGAAATAATAAAAAAATTGCTTTTCAAGTTTTCTTATGTTGACTTTTTCACGTGGCTCCATCTTTTGAAATAATAGTATAATTTCTACAACATGTTTATTTAAAAAGCGAATCTTTTCAGTCCAGCTTTGTGTCCAACCAATTGTTAGTAATTGATAAGATAAACTCGAACAGTCGATCATAATAATTTAGAATCAATCTAGTTCTGTCGATTTAACATTCTTTTTTGTGACATCTATTGAGTTCATGATGAATATTAGTATGGTTTATAATGAGATTGAGATAAATTTGCAGTTTATATAACTTTCAATCAAATTGAACTCAGTAAAAAAGACAATAAAATTTCATTTTTTTTTCTTCATTTTTTCAAATTTATTTTGAACTGATAATGAATAAATACAATCATGAAAATTAAGCCAACGGGACAACACGATGCCTTGGAGTTCGAGAAATTCCTGCCTTCATCCAACATATGGCGATGTGGAAATCAATGCAAACTCTCTCGATTAAATGTTTGGTATCGGCCAATGTTTCGTGAAGAACATATTTGCCCTTTAGTAGACTTGCCACGGGTAGGATATTTCTATACTCACTAAGAATCATAAACGACCGATTAGTATTATTGTTAAAATAATAATGAAATTAAATTAAGAGAATCAAAATTAAAATATATACCTTTGAAATTGAGCATTGCTGTATGGCGAAATTATGATTTTAATTAATTTTAAAATGAAAATTTATTTAAATTTGCATACGAACACTTACGTGTATGCGAGATTATTCGATAGAAAATTGAATAAAGCGAAATTTGCTGGTTCAATAATATCCGCAATTGTTCTGTAAATGAATTCAATTGGTCAAGTGATGTTTTGATATTTGGAATCGAGAAAACAGTTTACTGTTCATCATATTTTCTGGTTTGATGTTGTAGCAATTGATCCACCAAGCTTTTATACGTTCCATTTTGAGGTGTCAATCCACAGCAACTAAAATTAAAAAAAAAAAAATGTTTGTACCTATAAGTTTTTTATATGGTCACATTTCTTAGTTGAACACATCGAAACGGCCGATTAGTTGTTTTTTTCTTTAGATAAATATTCAATCCATATTATACGTACATTTCCATCCATTTTCTACCATCAAATTCATCGGCTTGATAATGAACACTTGGTAATTTAATGTTCGGTACTACCGTGTTGGCAACCAGACCGCTTAACTTAGGCTCAGTATATGGCAGAGTATTTTTGCTAGCATCTGATATTGATAATTAATATTTTAATTCAAATATATTTCATTTATGCACAATTTTAACCAACGAATACTTACTTGAGCCCGAAAATGATGCCTGATTTTTTAAAGCAATTAAATTCAATTATATGTATTATTAATCCTTTTTTCTTATATTTCAATTTAAGACAAAAGAAGCAAATAATCAACTTACTAAGGCCAAAGCCGCCACTATCACACTAGTAAAAGCTCTCATCTTTTTAGTTCTTGATAAAACAGAAATTAGATTCAAATCAAATTATTGTTCAACTATAACTGGTATTCAATGGTTTTTGAGACTTCAATTTATAGTGCTTTTCGAACATTTGGTCCAAATTCTTGCCATATCTGTTATTCTTTCATTGGAATGTTTTGTGTTTGATCTGATTAATACGTGTGTACTTCAACTATAATATTTGGAATACTTTCTGAGAAAAACAGTTACGTTACACGATGAAATCGTAATTTCAATTAAAATTTGAAGGCTTTTGAGAAAAACATTTTTTTTTTGGGAATTTCGATATTCGTAAAAAACTGTTACACAATTCCAGGTGTTTGGTTCACGTGCGTCATAAGTGTGACTTGGCAATCGAATTCAACTTAACGATAAAGTTATCATTTCTTACAAACCGAATCGAATCATACTTGAATTGTCTTCTCTTTCTCTCCTTGAACTAGTCAATTGGTTTATGTGCACCATGTCAAATGCAATGTTATTTTCCAGGAAATGACTTTATGGCGTGTGGCCAAGAATGAAATGATTATTAAAAACGGTTATAAAAAAAACAAATTGAAGTTAAATTCATTAAAAAAATTGTGCAGTAGCTGAAACGAAAGCAATAAATCTCGTTTATCGATTAGAATTCATATATAAATCTACATGAAATCGCTGTGTTTCTTTTTTTAATTGAAAACAGGCCATTTTGGTAAGTAACACAACAAAAAATTGATCAACGACCTTCGATGGAAGTGATATGCAAGCGGATGGAATGGTGTAGACATCGTAAATGTAAACAGAACAGAGAGCGTGAGCAATGTGGAGAAAAGGGAAATGCAACGCAAAAAATTCGCCATGTACGAATACACTAACCATAGCAGAGCAGCAGCAGTAGCAGCCTGATGATTTTTATGAGCATGTTTTCCATTTTTTTTTCATGAGCATGAAAATTATGTGCATTTTCTTAGGTTAATTTCGCCTTAAAAAAAAAAAAAAAAAAAAAATATGTACAACGGTCGTAAAGTAATAAATTTACACATTTCCAGTAACATAAATATCGAGCCTCTGATGCATATAATTTGTAATGCCGGTCAGTAATATGGATTAACATCGATGTTTCCACCGTATCGATATATTGATTATGCTTCCCATGTGTGGCAACCACAATCTAAAACAATGAAGCGAAAAACACAAACAACAATTGCATTTGTTTGCAAACAATTCACAACAATTGACTGCATCAAACGATGAAATATGTTATATCGGGGCTTCATTCTTCCTGGCCATGTTTGCTAATCAAACGCGTTTCTTTCATTTTATTTTAAATATTTGTTCCGATTTTAGTTCATAAATATATTGTGTGATTTAATGAGGAATGTATTGAATTCAATAACAAATACACACGCAAAAAGAAGACAATTAAAAACAAAACAAACAAAATCTGTTCAAATCGAATGTATTAGCGCAACAACAAAAGTAAAATATTGCGAGTGAGTTGATGACATGCATTATGCACTCGTTGCTTTCTTTCTTCCATTTGAAAGACACTGGCAATTACACCTGATTTCAACTAGTATACCAAGAAGAGTCATATAAGCGAGAGATAGAGAAAAAAATGTCGGCCGTTATAGCAACGACGAAGATTAAATAATCAAGAGAGTTACAACGAATTCTGTACATTTCTCCAAAAAAAAAACGCTCACCCATTTTTTTCTTGTCTCAATTGCATGCAAATTTCGCTTGTGAAATTAATACCCCGTTAAATCGAATTTCACGTGAATTTTTTTTCTTCTCAGATTGATATTCGCTCGGTTGGTTAACTCGTGTAAGCATACCAAAAAAACCTGTATGACACATATTGAGTGTCTTGTTCTCAGCAACCACAATAACAACACAGTGAAAAAAACCGTTACTTTATTTCGGCATGAAATTTAGTTTTAATTCATGTTTTGATCGATGTACATAACACATGCTCTACGCAATCAAAACTGCGTCAGCAGAGATACTTTTTGCACTTAAAAATACAAATCGCATTTTAAAAAATACCATCAGAAGAATATATCAGAGCAGTGAAACCAATACTCTAAGCCGGTGAAATGCATCAGTGATTTGGCGCAAAACGCTTTGGTATTCGAATGTACAATGAATCGATTTAACAATTTGGTAATTGTATATTTTTACATGTTAAAAAGAAATTTATCTTTTGCGCTCTCTCTCTCTCTCTCTCACTCTTTCCCTTTGTTTTGTGCGCCATGAATTCAAAGCAGCCTTGCCATTCAACAGACATGAGATGCGCAAATATTTCGTTGCTTTTTATTTTCGGTGCAACAAGAACTGCATGCTATTTTTACCATACCATCATTAAGAGAGTACTGTATTTATATATCGAGTAAATACCGTTTTATTGTGTTAAAGCAGCAATTTTTTCCGAGGCATCAGTTTTCTCTCCATTCTTGTTTGTCTCCTTTCTGTGATTTGAGAATGAGGCATGTGTGTGTGTGTGAAGCAAGATTGGTGCGTGTTTATAATGTTAAACCAGCACATGCAACATTCATTTCTGGCTACTTTAAACCAGTTTTGTGTACTTTTTTTTATCCAGAAGTGTGTAGATTTCGCAAATAAACGAAAAAAAACGACTAACGTATTTCACGCTAAAAATTTATTTTACGCGCCCATTAAAAATCATTTCATTCTGACCGGGAGACACACTTTTCCAAGATAATTTGGAGTAAAAATTGGATTGTCGATTTTTTTCAATTTCCATGGTCGAGTTTGAACATGTTATAGCTATAAGGGGGGAATAAACAAATGTAACAAATTTAATGTCATACGGTGGGTGCACACATGCTAATAAATTATTTTTTATCGAAAATATTGGCAAATATTATTATATCATAATATAAATTGGACGGTGATTTCGTGATCTTTGCTAACCACAAACTCATAAAACTAGATAAATTTACTCATTAAATCAAACTACGAGCATCGTACGCACAAACATTTCGAGAAATACCCAAGTGGAAAAGATATTAGAAAAACGAAACTCGAAGTCATATCCAAAACATTATTCAACCTGGTAATCACTAAAAATCACCAAGTTTACAGTCAATTAGATTGAAATGATCGTGGTCCATAAAGAGAAAATTATTAGAAAGGTTATTATGCTCACCTATGTTTCCAATACCAAGAATTACTCTCTTGGTCCTCTGGCTATAACAAAACGAATAAATAAAAGAATGTGTCCAGCCAAATCAATACATTGCGCTAAATTCAATAATTTTCAATCGTACTCACTTCAACTGTGATCGTGTGTATATTTTTCCCATCGGGGATAATAAATAAATTGCATTGTGATTTGTTTGCGCTTGAAAAGTTTGATCTTAACATTGAACTGCGGCGAGGTGTTACGTGGTTTGCCCGTGTAACTGCTTGGCTCTTGTTTGTGGCATGGAACGAAATGTAATCACTGATTAATAAACTTTACCAAAAGGCGAGCGATTTGCGGCGCTTACACTTCTGCATGGCTTACTTGGACGCTTACGCGTGGCGCAGCAAACATTGAGGCTGGTGTTTCATTTTGCTGCATGTTTTTTGTTGTTGTTGTTGTTGTTTAAATCAAATCGAATCGGTTGAGCAACTGTGTGTTCGATGCATACACGTATAATTGTTGTGTATGCATATGGATCTTATGTGTTGTGCGGCGTACGTTACGATCCGCTTCTTACTGTTTCTGTTTTATTCGTTTCAATCACATTAAATTGTGGCTGTTACTATTGGTGTTCACGGTTATACAGTGAATTTCATCAGACACAACGAGCCACACGAAAGACATATAAACACATACGATGCCTTATGCGCCGGAGCACAGTGCACACCGTTGTTCACACACTGTTTCCGTATCCTCTGTAAACACTTGGTCATTTCAAACGATGTTCTCAACCGAGGTGGTTCGTTTGTCAGCTGTTAATAAGTGAATATAGTTTTTTTTCTCATTGAAATAACAACAAAATTCCGAAAGAAAATCAAATCTCATACAAAGTAAACTTGCAGATTTTTCCATCGATCGATTTTTGTACATACGGACAAGCGTTTATTTTCTTTTCTATAATACATTTTATCGACTAATTGACAAATAAAATCGAGTGTTTTATGTGCTTTCAAAAGGATAATTTTGCAAGTGTGATTCCCTATAAATATGAATTTTCGCGTGTGTATCGCTAAGGATAATCGTTTGCTATAGAAGTGAAAATAAAATCACCGATTTTATGACATTGTCCTGTTTGTTAAATTGAAATTCATAGTGTTGGCTAAGTGTGTGCGTGTGAGTGCGTGTGTTTCGAAGTGATTTTCGGACAACGGAAAATGAACATTTTTTGGGTGTATCGAACAAATTGATTGCTGATTATGAATTTTCTATGCGGTTGTTTGGCATTATTACTTTTCATTCATGGTACGATCCTTTTGTTTCACTCTCCCTTTCAAATCACTTTCATAACATTATGCCAATTCATAGTCAATCAAGTTGATATTGATTTAAATCGCAATCTATGTAATTTTCTATCAATATCAATTGATTTGCCATTTATCGTTTAAAGCGTGTGGCAAAAGAAATTCACAAATTAAAATCATCGTGTACGCGCGCACAACATTATAATTTTATATTCCATCTAATATCAAAATGATATGATTACAACAGCCGCAGCTGCGTTCTTGGGAACTGGATTATTGGATATAAACCTTTTCAAATGCATGCGACGAAAAAGTTTCTCATGTCCACACGAAGATATCGATTTCATACTGCATACACCGTAAGTAGATTTCGAACGCTTTCATTTAATAATGTGCTTGCACATTTCATCTTGTGCATTCGATTCGAACCGATTTTCACTTAAAGAAAATATATATGTTGCTGGTATTGTTTGTATGTGTTCGTGTGTGTGTGCGTATGTGTTATATATGTGGTACTTACTTCAGAATCACCTCTAATACTATTTTATGCATCTTTATTGTTAAACATGTGAGATGCAACATGAATTTTGCATGCATTAGGCACGGCAATTTTTTGTGCGTTATTTTCTCACATGTCGACGAACAAACGAATCATACAAAATAAAATACGCGCGAACATTTGTGCCAATTGCCCATGTTAAAATGACCAAAACCAATGTTTTGATTGAAAAATAAAAAAAATAAAATGTCTTACATCCGTAAGATGAACTTTCCCGCACTGTGATCCACAACATGCATTTATTACATATCTTTAACTGTAATTTGAATTCACGAGAAAACTGAATCTGACATTAGTTTTACGATACAAATAATTTTCGAAGCACTTTTCATACAAAAACTATTGTACTAAAAATGGGAATTTTTGTATCGCAGCCTATATGATATCGTAATCAAGTGAAAATTTGCAGAAGTTATTTTTTTCACAAAAAGTTAACATTCTGAAAGTTTGAAGAAATTTCAGCATATTAAGGGTACTTCCCATACAAAATTTCTTTTTTGAGCGAAAAATCCAAAATTTTGTTAGGAAGGTATCCCAAATATTCGTTGAAATGTCTTCAAACTCTCGAAATGGTATTCTTGTGTGATAAAAATAACCAAAGTGCAAAGTTTCAGCTCATTACGATATCATACAGGCATGGCTTCCATACAAAAATCCAATTTTTTTGGAAATTTGTATGAAAAGTGTGCCGAAAGTTATTTGTTTCGCAAAACATAACGCTAGATTCGTGTTCCCTGGCCCCAAAAACTACCAGAAAACACATTTTTGATTGTTGTTGATTTTTCGACCGATTCCAATACTTTACCTTACACACTAGTTGTGTGCGGAAAAGTAATATAGAAATTATCAGCAAATTACACACAATTTCAATCAAATGGAAGTTTGATAAGCAAAACTATTTGAAATATAGCCGGATCGGCTTGTTTTTCTTACCCATAGCACACCAAAAATATCAATAAAATGCATATGTGTGCGCTAAACGAAAGGTCAAAATTCGATTCAGTTTTTTTTCTACTGTTCAACGACTCATAAATAAGAATTCAATCCAATTGCCGATGATGAACATGAAATGAAATGGTAATATCTCCGTCTGTTGCGTGCAATTCGTCGAATATTTACATTGGATAATGAAATTAAATCGATGCTTTAAGATAACGTAACTGAAGCGTTTTTACAATTCACATTTAAACGCGTTATTAAATAGAAAACTGAATGAAAACACTTGCATTTTCAAGTGCAACGCCAACGGCTCAAATATAATGCAGCACAACAAGAAGAATATACGGATCAGTCACCATAAATCATATGGTTATCGTTCATGCACATTTTCTTCTTCTTCTTTCTATTGTAATAAATCTTAGACATTTGACCATGCATGGATGAACACCGAGTTATTGATCTCCGTTGGAACTATCGAAGAATAAAAACTATTATCGAACGAAAAATGCCATACTCATGCCATCGAAATGGTCGAATCAATCGACTTTCAATTTTTGTTTAAAAGAAAACGTTTTTATTTTCTGATTTGTTTTTTTGTAAATACAATGAAACCTTGATCAAAAAAGTTGGTCATTTGTCATCTTAATTGATGATCAGTCTTAAGATATATTATTACATGATCATTATCACCAAAACTTAATATAAAATACCGCGATAGAATTCTTGCCACCTACCAAAATAGATGTTGGTGACCAAGCGAATATTATTAACTTCATTGGGACAAACATTAAAGTATACCTTAGTTGAACGACATCAACGATTCTATTTCAGAAAACTTTCACTGTCACTTTCGTTGGCAGTGGAATAAAATCGATATAAACCGGTCTTTTTGCATATGTTTTTACGTAAGTTTTTGTTAAATAATTTTTTTTCGGCGATTTTTATAAATAAGTATGTTATTTGCATAAAATTTGCTTTAATTTTTAAGATAATTTTTGCGAAAAAAGAAAGGAAGTATGAATGCAATCGGTATTACTTGTGATGAATTCGCTTTGAAAAACGGTTTAGTGGATTATAATCGTTTCGTGTGCTTCATTTCCTATTGGAAAGGGCGTGGATTTGGTCGATGTCAGTCGGTCTTTCAAGGCGTCGATCTAATTGTATTAAATTGTGTAATATTATGTGCAATTACGAAAAGCCGATCGATTGATCGCATACAACCAATTCTCTCGATCATTTTGCTTAGCGCTTAGTACTAAAAGCGGCATAGATGTGTGTTGAATTAAACGTAGAGAAGGGCAAGAGCAAAAAACATACCGTTGATTTTTCAAAAAATGTTAATTATTTGTTTTTTTTTTGTTGTTGCCTGAAATCTATTATTTTGTTCAACGTAAATCGCTCACGATCGTATTAAATTTTGCAATTTAAATGTTTGCCGCACCCGTGCCTATCATCGTTTGCATGTATCAAATTTAAACAAATTTTCCGATAAAATTACGATTGAATCGGCACAATGTACACTCTTATCATAACAGAAGAACTTCGAACATGTTATGATCGTATTGCTTGTGTGCTATTACGCGTCGGGGTAATTATTGTGTGGCTTTTCATCGCTAGACATACAATTTTAATGACATTCATTCCGTGACAAGCGAAGCATTTAGTATTTTACTGAAAATGAAAACCATAAATGATCTGGGAACTGTACTAAATAACAAAGTATCAAATGATAATCGCTTTCATTTCAAATTGCGACCTGAACAATTGTTGCGTATACTATTCGTCTCTCGATTAAAATACTTGTTGCGGTGTATACGCGATCGCATTGAGACAAATTGTATTCCACGTCAATGCATTTTGGTGGTGGTGTGCTTTCTTCATCGTAAAATTTGCTATATTATTTTCATCGTTCTACTCAAACGCTGTCGGTTTTGTTGTTGTCATTTCTATCCCTCTCTCTCTCTCTCTCTCTCTCTCTCTCTCTCTCTCTGTCTCTCTCTCTTTAAATTTCTTCTAAAATGTTCCAGTGCTGAACTTTTCACTTTCGAGCGAATGCCAACGGTTTGTTGTTTGTTGCGGTTTTTTTGTTGTTGTTCGTTTACATTTTTTCGCTCGGCTTCCGTTAATGACAGTGTGCAGTGGTGCTGAAACAAGTCGCACACAGTTCATCTCGTTATGAAAAGTGAAGAAAAATAAAAACAATGGTCGTGCACCATCGATCGAAAGTTATTTCATGGCAACAGTTCGATTTTCCCATCGTATGTTGGATGGAAAACAGTGCAATGGACCACGTGTAAAATAAACGGAAATTGAATAAGCGATGACAGACCGTGTATTGTGTAAGTTTAAAGTGTGACATTAATGCGCTTCTCTTGTACTAAACCCATCATGATTAAAGAAGCATAATGATTTTTCGTTTTCTATTCAATAATATATTCAATACGTCAATGCCGAGTAGGAAGAATGAGAATTGACTGTGCGCATAATGAGATTGCGATTAAAAGAGTTTATTTGCACGGGCACACAAATAATAGTCATTTTATAAAGTTGATTGCAACGTTGCGATTACACAGTTGCAACAAGGTGTACAAACTGAAAACATTTATCGAAAACAAACTCATTCGGAATGAGACACGAAATTCAGTGCGGTGCAGAGTTGAAGAAAGTGCAATGGAGAAATATGCGCGAACGCCCATTCGTTTGCGCGTGATCACGCTTGAAATGGTAAAAGAAAGCGTTCATATAGATTGACTTTATGGCAATGAAGAGAAAAACAATGTGCATTTTATTTCGATTTCGGGCACACACATACACCGTTGAACATTTTACCCGTCAATTGATGACTGTATATCGGTATATATTGCATTTCTTAACCAATGCACACTTATGGATGCACAATGTGCGTCAGTGGCAGCCTGAAGTGAAGAAGAAAAAAAACGTAAAAACAAAATTACGCAGCAGTACCGCTGGCTGAGCGAGTAACAATCCAAAATCTGAAGAAAGAAAATTAAATTCCATTTTGTTTGCAAATTCGTAACGCGAGAGAGAGAGAGCAACGGATAAATGAGATCGAGTAAAAGTACCCAGGGCGCGTAGTATATGAAAACGAAAAGAAATTCAATTGCAAGCCGATGAAAGAGGAAAAAAGCACATTTGCATCTTTTGTTGAATGATTGAACCTGTTTGAATGGCTGAATACAAATTAGGCGTACACAATGATTTATAAGAAGAAGAAGAAGAAGAAACACCATAAAAGCCAAAAAAACTGATTTTGTTTCTAGTTTCAAATTATCCAGTTTCTTTTTTATCGCCAATTGAGTGTGAGATAATGCAAATGATGTATGCGCACGGGCGCGGCGTAACAAGCAAACAAACGGTGCACTTGACTCAAGTCATAATAATGAGCTGACATCAAATATTTGTTGTCGGAGAGAATAAATGAATTTTGATGCTTAAATGATTGTGTGATAAAGATGTGAATGCGCACATCATGTTCATCACATTTATAATGGCCACATGTTTCTTTTGAACATCTATATCGTTATTGCGCTAGACCAATGTTTGATGCAGAAGAAATAACGGTACAACGATCGTTTCTCATTTCTTTCTCTCTCTATCTCCGTCTTAATATTCGCCGACAGATAAACAACCTATAATTACATTTTAACACGTTTTCAATTCAATACAAAATAACTGAAATTCTAAAATAATAAATAAAAAAACGTTCACTTTTATTCGATAATTTAATTAGCATGTGCACAAACGATTTCTTGCATATGTGTGAATTGTATTTGTTTCATTTTTTTCGTGGCGCATAGTGTGAGAAAATTGGTATAAGTTGATTTTTAAGAGAATCATTCAATTGATCTTCATTATGACATCGATCAACAACATGTTAATGGGCAATTTATTAAACTCGTTGCATGAGTGCATGTTTTAAAAATCAACATCTATGATGTGAATGAACGATTCGTTTGCACTTTGTTTTTGTTTTTATTCACATGCTCTTTGTACGCCATACCACACGGCTCATTCCATTTAAATCGAAAATGTATAGCTCTTTATCTCGACCGCCCGTAACGTCAGCAAAATGAGCATGCTATTGAGCAATATATCAAATTGAGCAAAGAACATCAATTTAAGAAAGTCATAAGCATAACAAACGATCATTACCGATCTTGAACCAAATCTCACTTACTAAATCACTGTGATAACATCGTGTGGATTGCATGTGATCTCTGAATGTCGCTGTAGCGAGTTAAATTATCATGAACGACGCCAACATTTATCTGCACGAAGGAAAAGTGAACGGGTTTCTTTTCGGTCGGAATGTTGTTTTCCATTCGATGATATTTCCGCCTTCTGTTCCCTTCCGAATAGTTGACAATTTTTTTTTTCAATCCACTCAACATCACGTTTATATTCCAACATTTTTTTTTTCTGCACACTCAATTTAATGCTATCTCTCTCTCTCTCTCTCTCAATTTTTTCTTTCGTTTTGCAGAAAAATTCCCGATGGAAGATACGTGGATGTGCGAAAACCATCGACATTTGTGAATTTCCGGCCGCATGAAGAGACGGCATTCATTGTGCACGGTTTTAATGGCACAGCCCGTGATAAACATATGCGATACTTGAAAGACGGTAATTGATTTTTGAATTTCGTGAATAGTTTTCGTTTTCAATGTCCGTTTAATACATGGCCTTTCTCCGTGTACCTTTTATTTGGCTTTTGCAACTGAACATGTTTGTGCACCATTTACTTTTCCTATTTCATTTTTTTTTTTAAATAAATCAAATATTTTGTGCATGCATACATTGTATATTAACATATTAACAAACAAACAAATTTTTTTTCTAAAAATCAAAATGGTTCCGTTGATGTGCCGGGGTGCCTACATAAATTTCGCGTGTGAAGCATATTTGTCGAGAGGGTTCAATGTGGTTTTAGTGGACTGGAAAAAATTAACGTACTATCCGTGCTATTTTTCCGCCTTGGGGAACACAAAACTCGTGGCCCAATGTACAGCACAGGTGAGTCATTCAACATTTTGATCACACTTATTTCGTATCAAATCGCGCAACTATAGTTCAAATCATTTGATTCAGTTCTTGAGTAATTATTGTACATTATTTTATAAAATGATAATTTCTTTATTTGCACATGTTCACGATGAAATTATGTTTACGAGAATTCCCAGTTTGACATTTGCAAAAAGCAAAACTTGATTTGCATATGATTTCAAATTAGATCAATGAAAAACCGAAGAGAAGGAGAACGACAGAGAAGTTCGTTCGATTAATTCGTTTTAGCGCGCAATCATATGTTAGCAATGCGACGAGACCATTTCACTGGCCCATGAAATCTCGCTTTTTCATCTTACACACATATGAAATTGCCAATGAAAAAAAAAATGCAGTGGAACACGTTTCTTTTGTTTGTTGACCCATTTTTATAAGCTGTTTGATACTCATTTTTTTATTGTTCATCGTATCATCGTCACGTGAATCTTGTGAATACAGAGAATACACTGCAAATGTACTTGGAAGTAATGCTTGATGTGTCGATTTGTAATTGAGTTGAATTTGTAAAATATTCCTACTCCCCGTAATGATTTGGAAACTTGTAGCGGAAAAGAGTCATGTTTCTAAATAATTTCTGTTTTGATATTAGGTATACGCATACTTAACCTACAGAGGCTCAGATAACTCTCAAATGACATGTGTCGGACATTCGTTAGGTAATTGAGAAAACAATTGAAATGGTGCATCGTTCAATCTATATGTTTTGTTTATTTGGTAGGTGCTCATATATGCGGCATGGTTTCAAATCATTTGACATCTAAACAGCATAAAATTATCGGTAACCATAGAACTATTTATAATATCATTATTTCCGATTGAGTTTAAACGGTGTTTGATTCTTTCATCAATGTATAGGATTGGACCCTGCGCGACCTTTAATCGAACGGCATGCATCGCATGGCTATCGTTTGACGCGAGATGATGCCAATGTTGTGCAAATTATTCACACAAATGCAGGAACATTGGGACAACAATCGTTAACGGGTTCGCTGGACTTATGTATTAATGGAGGAAGTTTACAACCATTTTGCCGTCGCGGTTTACGATTAAGTATGCATCATCATCTTTATCTTTCCATTTATCTTCTTTTTCGCCATATGTGTTTTTGTTTTTTTTTGTTTGCTCATTTACCTGAATAGAAAATTGCAGTGTTACAACAGAAAATAATGTGTTAACTTAAACGATTGCATTTGTAATAGCAATTTCATTGTGTTTATTATTGTCTTTTCTTTTATTTCGCAATAGATCGAAATCGATGTAGCCATTTCTTAAGTGTATGTTATTTAGCCAATGCAATATTCAAACACAAATTGTTCCCATACAAAGCGTGCCCAAAAGGTTGCGTCAAGAACAATTCACCATTATTCGGCCTAACCAGATATACATTCAAACCAATGCAATACTCTAGTCTGATCGTAAGTTTTTCTTAATGATTCGCCACACATTTTCTATTGAGTCAAATAAAAAAAAAGGAACTTCTATTGTATAGTAGATTTTAACTTGATGTTCGACCACCTTTTAATCATTTGAAGTCGATTTTTGACGGCCTCAAATTAATAAAAACCCTTGCATTTGAAATGAAATCAAATCTGTATGAAAACAAACCATTTTACCATTTCATTTCAGAAATTAATGCACATTGGACAAGATGTACCTGAAGAGTAAGCATAGTTCAATTTTTAATAAAGTTTGAAATGAAATATTCGATCAAGAAAAAAATCATTTTCTCGTCTTATTTTTATTCGAAATATATTTTTCTCTCAAATTAAACTCTATTTAATTTTCAGAACGACCGGCTCATACTGCGTCCAAGTAGATTTTGCCAAACATTGTCCATTTAATGAAGACGACTGAAATCCGTTGTATTTTGTTTGAGTTTTAAAAATGTTTGTTCGAAATCGATATTTAATAAAGTTCGCAATTAGATTTAGTTAAAACAAGTTTCTCTTTTCCTTATAAGCGGTTTATGATTGATCTGCAATTGCTTTAAATCAAAAGATATGTCAATAATGTTCGATAGATGGCGCCACCAATACGTGGATTTATTCCATTTGATATTTTACAATTTTTTAATTCACATGACTGACATACAATAAAACAAGTAGACTTTCAATTCTTGATTATCATTGAAACCAATAAAAAATTGAAAAAAAAAGCCAAACATTTAGGTAAAAACACGTCATTACAGAATGAATTGTTAAGTACGTCGAACAAGTATTGAATTGTACATTTTTGACAGACAAGTTGACAGACATCATTTCGCTATAAATAACACCGGCCGCATATTGTGTTTCACAGTAGAACAATTGTTAAAAAAAAATAACAAAAGAGAAAGAAAAAAAGCGGTGTTTAAAGCACGAGTCACATGCAACTGCATGAATCCAAACAAACGATTAGATTATTGTAATTAAAACCAAAACAACAAACTGTAGTGAATTTTAAAAACCAAAAAAAGCAAAAAATTGTGTAAAAAAATGGTTGTTCGTCAATATGAAGATGAGCTCAAATATATTGAGAAAATCAATGATTACAGCTATCGAATTAAGAAGGGCTTTCAACCGAACATGAAAGTGGAGGGAATATTTTATGTCAACAAACATTTGGAACAATTAATGTTTGAAGAGCTAAAAAATTCGTGTCGCCCGGGCATGGATGGTGGATTTTTACCAGGTTTGTCTTGATTTCGAAAACAAAAACAATGGCATTGATTTTTACGTGTATGATTTGTGTATCGTCAGGTGTAAAACAAATTGCAAATGTTGCTGCATTGCCAGGAATTGTGGGTCGTTCAATTGGATTGCCGGATATTCATTCAGGTTATGGTTTTGCCATTGGAAATATGGCCGCATTCGATATAAATGATCCAAATTCAATTGTATCGCCGGGTGGCGTTGGTTTCGATATCAATTGTGGCGTTCGTTTATTGCGAACAAATTTATTCGAAAAAGATGTGCAACCGGTTAAAGAGCAACTGGCCCAAGGTTTATTCGATCACATCCCGGTCGGTGTTGGTTCAAAAGGTATTATTCCAATGAATGCACGCGATTTGGAAGAGGCCTTGGAAATGGGAATGGATTGGTCGTTGCGTGAGGGTTATGTTTGGGCCGAAGATAAGGAGCATTGTGAAGAATATGGACGAATGTTAAATGCAGATCCATCAAAAGTAAGTATGCGAGCGAAAAAACGTGGTTTACCACAATTGGGAACGCTTGGCGCTGGCAATCACTATGCTGAAATTCAAGTGGTCGATGAAATTTACGATAAATTTGCGGCAAGCAAAATGGGCATCGAAGAAAAAGGGCAAGTTTGCGTAATGATTCATTCGGGAAGCCGAGGTTTTGGACATCAAGTCGCCACCGACGCTTTAGTTGACATGGAAAAAGCTATGAAACGCGATAAAATTGAAACAAACGATCGTCAATTGGCTTGTGCCCGAATTAATTCGACCGAAGGTCAAAATTATCTCAAAGCAATGGCAGCCGCGGCAAATTTTGCTTGGGTTAATCGTAGCAGTATGACATTTTTAACACGACAGGTTTGTTTTAATTTTGTAAAAAAAAATAAGAAGAAAAACGTGATTTTGATGACAATTTATTGACAGGCATTCGCCAAACAATTCAAGACAACACCCGACGATCTTGATATGCATGTCATTTATGATGTTTCACACAATGTAGCCAAAATCGAAGAACACATTGTTGATGGTGTTCAAAAAACGTTACTCGTTCATCGCAAGGGTTCAACTAGAGCATTTCCACCACATCATCCACTCATTCCGGTCGACTATCAATTGACCGGTCAACCGGTTCTTGTCGGCGGAACCATGGGTACATGCAGTTACGTTTTGACAGGTACCGAACATGGAATGACTGAAACATTTGGCTCAACATGTCACGGCGCTGTAAGTTAACGGAATTTATGATTTGGACTTGCACAATTCTAACGAATGTTGTTTTTCTTCAAAAAACTGCAATAGGGTCGAGCATTATCGAGAGCAAAATCGCGTCGCAAATTGGAATATACAGATGTATTGGACAATATGCGAGATATGGGCATCGCTATTCGAGTCGCATCACCAAAATTGGTCATGGAAGAAGCACCTGAATCATATAAAAATGTCACAGATGTTGTTGATACCTGTCACGCAGCCGGAATCAGTAAAAAAGCGATCAAACTGAGACCAATTGCTGTTATCAAAGGCTGAATGATTTTAATTCTTTGTTTTTGATTTTGTAAACAAATTACAAATAAATATTTTTCTCCTGATTTTTTTTTTATAACAAATTTCTGTGTCGAATTGCATTACCACTTTTTTTTAATTTGAAAAAAATAGCTGAAAATACCATATGAATATGTTGTAATTTAAGACAATACGAATTTAAACATATAATCAATTTTTAATAGTTAATCTGTACACTCGAGTGATCCAGATCTGGACCCTCATCAGAACCTATAGGTCTAGTAATATTTCAGTTTCATACTTTTTTTTAGACAGAACATCATGGCTGAGCTTTTTGCAGAACGGCCAGTAGAGAGTAAGCTGTTTTCATAATCTGAAAATGAATTTTATTTTCAATGACTAGCAGTTTTTTTATTTCATTAAAATTATTTGAGAGCACCCAAATGGTTAAAATACGGACACACTTGGGCATGTGGACGAGAATAGTTTTCTGCCATTTGCCCTTCCCCTGCAGAAAATGTCTCCACACATCTCCTCATTTTAACCATTTGAGAAAAAATTCAAAACTATTTCTGGATCATTGATAACCTTTATGAAAGTGTCGGTGTTTAATAAGAAAAATTTTCCAGCACGTACAACAAATGGACGCAATGATCTTGTAATAAAAATCAACAAAAATTTCTTTTCCGGCTCTTCGATTTGGTACCATTCGCTCGAAAATATTGCCACTGGTAATAATGCAGATTTCAAAACGACATTTGTTCCGAGATAGCTCGGGATAAAATTTTGCACTATTATGCCACCAGCATAGGTTACCTGGTAAAAATTAATTTATTTATAGATAGTAGAGTGGTAATTGAATAATTTAGATACAATTTAGTTTAATGAGTGAAGTAAAGCGGTTCAACATTTCTTATATAAACCGATTTCGAAGTGGTATTTCCAATTGGTTTCACTTGTATGTTGAACAAAACAGAGCAAGCAGGACGTTCTGAAAATGGTTTGTATAGCGAAGATGTGTGTGTATGTGAACACATACCGTACAGTGCCGCTTGCTATGGTTCCTTCAGTAAATGAAACCAATGAAAAAACGACGGAATGACGGAATGTAATTGAAAATCGTGCCATCTGATTCACATTCTTTTTTCCTGGCACTTCCCTCAAATTGGAATAATTTTTTTTACGATGTACTTGATAGCCAGGATCGGTTAATCATCTGCCACATGGTTTTACTGTGATCACTGAAGAAATTTCAAATCTTGCAAACATATTTAATTCGTTCTTTCGAAAACGTTGTTCCATTTCATTTCCATTAAATCGATTTAAAATTATTAAAAATAAAGTGCCATCGTAATGTATTAGTACGAGTATGAGCTGTGCCTATACTACTTAGAGCTGTCGAAAGAACGCATAAAGACTATGGTTAAATAAATTGATTTTTACCAAAAAAGCGAATTGAGCGGCGGTCAATTGTTGTGCCTGAGAAAATTGGTACGCGATTGTACAGAAAACTAGCGTCGAAATACTAACTTGTATGAAAAATATGGCCGATAAATACATATTAATTTCATTAGAATATCTGTAAAAAAAAAAGCAATTTTACCATAAGTTCAACTTATATTTCATATCAATACTAACTTGTTAAGTAATTTGTAATGGTCCAGATATGCCAACAGGCGCACGTGATTCGAGTTATCTTTCGAGATTTTTCCCGATTTTCCAATTTGTTTTAAATGCAGAGACAATACTTCAATATGGCCACATAGCAAGCTAACTAATTTCAAGCTGGACGTATCCAAAGTCCATGAAATTGCGCAATTTAGACTGTTTGAAAATGCCTCAAAAATCAAAACACCATAATAAACGTGTGTTTGTTGCGCCCAGTTGCTTGGGATTGGAGCTGTTGATTTCCACGTTTGATCGGATCGTTCCAAGAAAATCACTTCAGAAAATAACGACATGATTGCTCCGGTGTACATACAGGTATAAATTATGGTCATTCGACGGCAATTAGCATAAACTGTTCGCATTATTTTTGCGTCATCATGGTTTTCAACGCATCGATCTGCTTCTGCTAAAATGTCCAAAATATTGTGCAAGTGTCGACGTTTAAAATAGAATAAAGCAATTTTCACGCCAACCGTACTGAAATAAAACTAAATAATTATATTTAAAATTCTCCTGGCTTCGCATTCTTCTACTAACGTTGTTGTGGAAAACAAAAGTAATTCTTTCACCAGGTCATCAGTGGACTGTACATATATTATCGATATTAGTTGACAACAAACAATAACAATTCCAGCGACAAAAAATGTTATTAAACCCCAAACATGATAAATAAAACTTGATTCACTTGTTGGCAACATTCCAAACACTCGAAATGCCCACAATTGTTCATATACGACTGAAGTTGAATCCATTTTTAATAGTTCGGATAATGTTCGAAGACTGTACGTTCTTTGCAAATGCCAAGTATTTTTATGCTATTCGAAAATTGTATTTCGAATTCAACCTTATAGATGAAATTTTTTATGATTGATAATAATTTATTTTTGCTTTCGAGCTCTTTGACATATTTTGAAAACAACAACTTAATGAGAAGCACTTATGTTAACCCATCAAGTACTTGGCGTATCGGTACATAAGCTTTTGTTTGATACTTCGCATTTTTATTAATATATTCTACATTCATCAGTTTTTTTGGTATGACTTATAAAACAACTATGCCGGTTCACTCTGGATAATCCTATTTTATTTGCAAAGCATATTCGTCCAAGGAGAACATTGAAATAATCACAATATGTGAAAAATAATATGAACTTCTGCTGAAATTATTTGAACTGCCGACAATTATCGGACGCACTTTTGTGTTAGTTAGATGATAACAATAGATCTCAAAAGGGTTAAATTATTATTACATTTAAAAAGTTTTAGTAGAAAAAATCGTTTGTTTTACCAGAAATAAGTTGAAGTAGAAACAAAGAGAAATCAAAATACACCTCGTTATACCTTATTATTAATTCATCACCATTTGCATTTCATCGAACAAAATTGAAAGACGAAATACAAACTTGAAAAGCAAAATTTCCTAATTGGACCATAATAAGTTAAACATTAAAGTTTTGAGCTAAAGGTTCAACGGCTTTGAACTAAATTCACTTAAGAATTGGTTTTAAATTGCGATATAATTGTATAAATACAATTGTAATGTGTAATTTCATGAAAATTCAATTGCAAACATTTCAAATGACGCATTTTACAATGTATTATTCAAAGAACTTTTCTTTTGCTATTCACATTTTTTGTCATGCTAACTTTGCACCAGATAAGATCAGATTTTCAAAATACAATAGAAAGTGATGTGAATCGTATGTGTGATTAAAAAAAATACACCGTTTTCATTCAAAATATGTTGTTAGGGTGCAATTTTCACGCAAAAACTTCTTGTGTGCCCTGTCATTAGAATAAACCATACATTGTTTTTGGATAGGATAGATCCGTAAGATTTCCGCACGAGCTGGATCTAAACATAAAATATGTGCACAAAAAATAGTGGGTATGAAGTTGAATTATTTTATTAAGTTAAATTATTGACCAATTTTTGTCACATACAACATAATGATGGCTTTGACTTAAAATTAATGAATATTTTGATTTAATAACAAATACTATGTTCTTCAATTTCCCTAACAAAATGATTCTTCTTCCCGTGTATACGAACTGCACTTAAAAATAAGTGTGCACACTAAAGTTCACACTTATCCAAATACGTTGTATATGTATGTGTTAGAGATGGTGAGTACGCACACACGCACACGCATGCATTCACAAACACGCAAATACAAGCATTCATACACACGCATGCATACAAACACATACCTCACCAACATCAGCAGCACAGCAGAGCCGTGGCTGGAGTTTAGTTTTAAGTTTTAGTATTAAGAAAGATACTCATCAATAAAGACATATTTTATTGCTCACAAAAAATCCCTGTGTTTTATCTCTCTACCTGAACAGTATGTGTATTGGTTGTGCATAAACATACGAACTAACGCACATTCCTCTTTGTATTTTTCGCACCAAAGACAGCGAGCATACAACAGCACTGTGATCTAGTAAACATTGCATTCATTATATATGCTCACTGTTTTCGTTGGTGCGAGTAATACAAAGAGGAATGTGCGTTAGTTCGTATGTTTATGCACAACCAATACACATACATATACAACGTATTTGGATAAGTGTGAACTTTAGTGTGCACACTTATTTTTAAGTGCAGTTCGTATACACGGGTTGAAATCCATAATTAATAAACTAGTGCTTTTGTACACTGAACCTTTCTGACTATTGTAATAGTGTAATACATTTCACCGATTTATGAACCATGATTACAACAAATCCACCGCCAAAAAATATCGCCGTCACTTGCAAAAATGGTGTCGAGCCATGATCCACTTCGATTCCAAATAATCGTTGTAAGCTTAAATAAATTACTTCAGCCACGGTGATGCAAAAAAACCAAAGAAATAAATTTACAATAATTTTACCACAATAAATCCAGAATTATCAACAAAATTCGGACGTACGTGACAATTTTCTTAATCCGAATACAATATCAATACTCAAGTGGATACTATCATCCAAGAGATTCCTGTAAAATAAATTCTTACACATTTCAGCGCACCGTTCGTATTTTTGAATTAATGGCTGAAAACTTTGGCATCACATCTTCATAAATAGCTCGATTTTTATTTCTTACAACTTGCTGTCTGAACTTATAGCTACTGTATGACGGTTTCGATATGAAGTTGTGCATTTCGATAATAATAACTTAACGTCGAATCAAATAAATCTCCTGAAATGCTATCCGAACCCCAATGTGTGAGAATTCGCCTATCTCAAAATTAATCCATGATTTATTTGGATATAGAAAAATTTCGGTTTTATCAACCGTAGTGTCGTGAACAGCCAATATTGCGCTCTTCAAAAGACTATTATGTGATAAGGAATAATAGTTCTGATATTGGCTGGGTGTCGGTTCGTTTTGCACTAGTACCACATACAATTGGAAAAGAATTTTATTTAATTTTTTTTTTCACCATTTAGTGGTTTTAGATATTTTCATACGTTTTTTTCGGTCGAAGTGTCCGCTCGAAGTCTGAATACCCATTGGCAATTTTTGTACAATTTCGGAAATTAAACGATTATCCAATGATCGTGTGTGTATCATATGAATTGTATTAAATCCTCCATCGTGAATGAGTCGACCGATTAAAAGTGAAAAACTTTGAAAATTTAAAATGTTTTGAACCAAAAATTTTGTAAAATTCATCTTTTCAGATGTATCTGATTAGAATGCGAAAGGTTAACTGACAACGAAAAATTGATGGTACATTTATTTATATGATATTTTACTAATCATCATCAATTTGTCATTCATGAAAGGATTAAACCGAATCAGCATTACCAATATGATTCACCATTAATATTTCCACAATTTTGTAGAAAACTGTTTAACTCTAATTCGAAATGTGGTCAGAATTATATTGAAATCATGTGAAATAATAGAAAAAAATAATAAAAAAGCTTTTTGGAAAGAAAACATGCATTGGTGATTTCCATTCCGTATTTACAGAATATTAATGTGCTCAAGATTCAATAGAGCAAAATTTATAACTGTTTGTACACCTTATTGCATCGAAATCTAAGATTTCGTTGAAAACCAAGAGTCGATTCTAACTTACGACCAAAAGTATTTTATATTTTGACAATTATGCCAGTAAACATGCACTTTTTTTATAATATTATTTCTTTACTGCCGTAAAAAGGTATGTGAAGCCACTTCACCAGACCTCGGTTCCCAGTTAACTATTGGGGGACTAATTTTCATATTTTCAGCAATAATTTTTTTATTCGATCTTATACACTAGCTTTGTCTAAAATAATTTCTTATTTACATCGCATACTGAAAAAAGCATTTAAACCTTCTAGTGTCTACTACTTGAAGCTCCCGTCAACCAATTTAATTTCACTGAATGATCCACGTGGCCTAAGGCATCGTCCAATTCCTTTAAAACTCGATTATAGTCTATGCATATTCCTCCACATATAACTTGGTCGGCGCAAATGAACTCAAATGCTTTTTTAACGCTCTTGTTCTTATAGTGTTGGCATTTTTGCTGAAAAAGAGAAATTACAATTAAACTTAATTTCATTACCATCGATTCGACATGAGATACTAACCATCATTCTTTCTTTTTTAGCTGCGTTTGTTGTACATCTAGATAGCATACATCCCTCAGACTCTGCATCATTCTCTAATGTTCGAACCATTGGGACACCAGTTACGTACCACATTGAATAACACAATGATTCAAGATCATCCATCGGATATCGATTCTTAGAGTTGTAGAAGTTTTTCGAAGCAAATATTGGCGAATGGCCAATGGTCTGGCCAAAGTCCAATGTGGCATAGTCAAAGTCTGTTTCAAGTAGAAAATATAATGCAGAATTTATGTGAAATGACGAGTAATCGAAGTCATGAATATTTACTTACCTCCGATAAATACTTTCAAGTCTTTTAGAAAAATATTCGCAGGCTTAATATCATTATGTAAGATTTCTCCAACATTATGTATATGTGCCAATATTTTGACCTGAATTCCGTAAAAATTTCAATGGTTTTTAATGAAGTTTTTTTTAACTAAATGAAAATACACTTACTGCTTGTTTGAAAATAATTAAAACACTTAGATCCGGTGAAATATTCCCCTTTTTCTTGTACAAATCTTCGAGAGTTCCATCGAACAAAGTCATTGCGATGACACGATACTTTTCAAGAAGCGATCCATGATAATAGATTCTTGGAATACCGTACTGTTCGATGTTTGGATCACTCGTTGCATTCAATGCTTTGTAAATTTCTATTTCCCGATCATAACATCCTTGATCCATCGTTATTTTGATGGCAATTTGTATATTCTTACGAGTTCGATCACTAAAGTTGCCTAAAATGCATGAGACAAATTCACAATTGTTTTGAGCGGTTAAACCTTTTAAAGGATCAGCTATTTATGTAAGTACCTTTCCATATGACCGAATGTTTTGTTTCGCCAACTATTGTTATAAGCTGTATGATTTGCTCACGTTGACCTGTTATACTTGAGCCTTTATTTTTTAAAAATTGTTGTATGTCGACCTTCATAATTTCTACTGGAACAGCTATTGGACCAGCTAATATCTGGAAATCAATAAATGTCAGTTTTATTCACTTATTTTCTGCAGACCTTTTTATCGATTAAAATCAATATCATTATACACAGGCCCCATTAAAATTGACCTATTTCTTAAACTGGCGTCGCAAAATTAAAATTACTTGACGTTTTTGCTTTCAAATTATAATTTCAATAACAAAAGAGCTGCACATTGCTGAGATCAGAGTTGGTAAATGCACCTCACAAGTGAGCGCACCCGATTCCATATAAATGTCGGGTGCGCGCACTTGGAATTTTTTTCTTGCTTATTTGAATATAAAGAGTTGAAAAAAATGTATTTAAAATTTGCTGGAAATAATATTTTCCGAAAATATTTGATCGATTCACTCTTGCTAATAAAACCTTATCATCTTCTCATATTCGATTATTTTAAATTTTTATTAAAACTCATCACAAAGTAAAACAATCGATGAAATTTCTAAAGTAATTGATTCAAGTTAACTGTTTGAATTGGAAACGGTTTAATTTCACAGAGAACCAAAAACTAATAAAATGAGTCTGCAAAATAAATCACACTTTTTAGTATGTAATAAAAATACTTACATAGCTCTCAAACAGAGCAAATACCACGACAACTTCTAAAATATGCTTCATTTTTACGAACAAAGAAAAAACCCTATGAAATTGACGAATTTTGCGATTGAATTAAATTGCTGTAGTTTCTTCTAGATCTTATATAGGGATCCTATACCACTTCAAATGGCATTTTATTCATTGTTTAAAAACAAAACAAAATTACAAATGTATACTTACATTCATTTATGAATATTCATATTTTTTAAAAAATAAATAAGAAAATGTCAAATATTATATGCAATATGTCATATAGATGATTATATTCATTGATCACGTACAAACAGAACTTTTTAAAAATAATAATTTTTATAAAAGGTTATGAAATAGAACATTTCTATTGAGTCACATATTTTCGAAAATAGGAATTCTCACTATGGGAGGCTATATGATAGATATGACTATGTTTATCATTTTTTGTTGATTTTCTTTTTAGGTGAAAATATTTTTTGGTATCATTAACTTCTTTGGCTTTTTGAGGTCATCAGCCAATGGATGAGTGACGAAGATCATATTAAAAATTCCTATAGAGCTAGGGGGTAGACCTAGGGGCATATCACGAAAACAAATGCATCATTTTTGAATAAATATACTGTGCTTTCAATGAATGCAGCAAATGTTATTAATAAATATTAACCTAACTTTCGCTTTGTAAATGTTGAACGTGGTTGAACGTAATAACTTTAAACTGTCTAGTGAAGACGGCAGTGAATTCGCCGCGCAAATAAAAGCTTTTTGACATCGGTCTGTCTTGACTTCGGTCTGTTTTTGACGTTTGATGTAAAACAATAACAAATATGAAGCGACAATAACAAATCATATTTGTTATTGTTTTACATCAAACGTCAAAAACAGACCGATGTCAAAAAGCCCGTCTCCACTAGACATTTTAAAGTTGTTACGTTCAACCACGTTCAACATTTAAAAAGCGAAAGTTAGGTTAAGCTAGTAATATTATATTTTTTTCAGCATAATTTTAATCTAGGGGGAGATTGCGAAGTTGTTTACAAGAAGAATATAAACAAATATATACGACTATGCCACCAATATATTCCAATATACTTAACAAAATACTCTAGCTATTAGAGTATTACTCTAGTTACTTAAACGACTCACTGTAAAAATATTATTGAAAAGAAAATGTTTCAATGAAAAACCGAAAAAATGGTTTTTTCTTGATTTGTATAATTAAAAAAAAATGTTTAATTTTATTTTTTTATTTTTTATTGTGTGTTTTATTTATTTATTTATCCGTGGATTATGTACATTAAACTAATTTTGAACAATAAGTTCATTGTGCAAGAG